TTGAGTTGCGTGAAATGTACGAGGATCTGAAAGTGGTGAGATATGTGTTTCGATAGCTATATTGTTTACTCATGTTCCATTTGTTGAGTTCATATGCTGACTGAACTTTAAAAATCTATCTTTGAAGGACTTTTGTTGAATTTCCATTCTTTTTGTCCCTTATGAGATCTAGTTGCAGCCACCCAGTGATCAAACTGTTGCGAAAAGTGCTGGAGACAAAGCTGCGGCGGTTGATTTTGCCACTTGGGCTAACGGTAATGAGTACGCAAAAGAACATTACGCCATGGCCATGGAAGTTGGGCACATATGCTTGGGTTTACGTCCTGAATCACACAAAGTTGGACTGGCACTGGTGAAGTGGGTTTATCTTCTCCTTTTTTTTGTGGCTGTCCCACTCGTCTAACGTCAACAATTAGGCTTCTGAATATAAATAAAGATTTTCGCTGACAATATCTTTTTACCTTCGATTGGATGAGGTAAAACAGAAAGTTTGCATCCATTCAAACCTAAAATCTTAAGGATAACACTTTTTAATACTTTTTTGTTTTGTTGCTTAGCATATCTCATCTAACGTTATATGGAAGTACCCGTCTTGATGTATGATTTTAGTTCCTTTGAGCAGCGTGCGAAAGGTTTACCACTGACGGAGTGGAGCATTGTATCATCCGCTTGGCACAATGATTGGGCAAAAGCTGCAGCAGAAGGCAAAACCCCGCCACCTGTTGATAACTCATCTATCAAAGGGACAAAGGCTGACGATGGATGGAGCGGAAAGGTTGGGAAGGTGCCTTTAAATCTTTTATGCATTTTGATGGGAACAGTTTTGAAGTTCTAAGTTATTACGGCCATCGTTCTTAGGTGGCCTGTTTGTCGCTGGAATCAGCTAATCTCAAAGCCGACTTAACTCCCAAGGACTACATTGCTGTTCCTCCTGCCCTTTGGAGGGCATGGTTGAGATGGTATGGAAGCGCGCAGTCGGTGAGCATCTAATAGCGCGTTCTTTTCATTTCCTTAGATTTTTTTT